TTAGATATATATTTTACCTCTGTAACTCGAATTTGAAGTAGCCATATTTCTACAAGTCGAAGTTCATCTTTATAAGTTGAACTTCTATTGTCGCTGCCTCTATAATTCGAAGTTGTAGCTATGTGTGAGTAATAGCCTGGTATTTTGTTTTATGGTTACATTTATCATATGTATGCAATAAATAATTTACTGTTAAATATTGATTTTTTTTCCTCTAAAAGCCATTATAATCGAAAAATTATAAACTCTCGTACAAAGCCTCCGTAAGTCGAATTTTCATATGTTAACCCTCTTTTAGTCGAATTTCGATAAGTCGAAAACTCTATAACTCGAACAGTTTTCCTGGTCCCTTGAGATTCGAGTTATCGAGGTTCGACTGTATTTATTGCATACATATAATAAATATAATTTTAAAACAAAATACCAGGCTATTTCTCATGCAGTTACACATATAATTACAACTTCGAATTATAGAGGCAGCGACAATAGAAGTTTGACTTATAAAGGTGAACTTCGACTTGTAGAAGTCTGACTACTTTAAATTCAAGTTGAAAAGGTAAAATAATACATCTTAATATTTGACAAATAATTTGAGTTAAGGTAGGTTTTATTTCGATTTATAGAAGTTTTTCTCAATGCAGCGGAAGGGAATGAACAAAATTTTCATCTTATAGAGGTTTTCGAGTTATCAAGGTTCGATTGTATTTTTTAAAGTTACATTAAACTCCTCTACATTTTGTTTCTGTCTTTTTGAGCATACATATATTTTATTTACAATCTTTCGACATTTATACCGTCACGGTATAAATATCACGTAGAAAATTGTTCAGTTATTCCTGAAAATATATTTTTTATACTTACATATTTTTAATATTATATGTATCATTTAAAGTGACGTTAAACTCCTCTACATTTTGTTTATGTCCTTTTGCGCATACATATATTTTATTTACGATCTTTCGTTTTTAGTTACGATCTTTCGATTTATACCGTAAAATATCACGTAGAAAATCGTTCAGTTATTCCTAAAAATATATTTTTTATACTTACATATTTTTAGTATTATATGTATATCATTTAAAGTCACGTTAAACTCCTCTACATTTTGTTTCTGTCCTTTTGGGCATACATATATTTTATTTACGATCTTTCGACATTTATCTATCTAATATTGTGAATCTTCGCACACGCTGTTATTTTTGTATTCATCTGCTTCCTGGGAGTACACCGAGGTAACTTCACTTCGGCAACAATTTCGAAGTCGATTGTCGAACGGTGGAAGCGTATTGAACACTCGACTGCGCCGTCGTGACGTGCGTCGTCAGTGCGGTGCAAAATCAGTGGAAAACCGCATTTTCCACAATGCCACGGTCTCGCGCGGATCGGCGCGCGCGGCAGTGCGGCGCGCAACGGAAAGCAAATGCATAATTTAAACTCAAATATCGCACCTCCGCGGACCGCGCGATTTTCGATTAAAATTCACACTTGGCCGCGGGCGAAGAAAAACATTTCGTGATTACGATTTCGTTCGAACATGAGAACGCGGGATCTGTTATGTGAATACTGAAAATTGTAATTTTCGGACGAACTGCATAAACTGAGACTACAAACGTTACACAACATTATACATAGCCAAGGGAAGGGATTAAAAATGCATTCCCCATTGCGAAATTATATATTAATTCTCTATTTTATTACGTTAAACAATTATAATACATCCACAAATTTTGATTTATAATTATAATTATATAATTTATAAGTTGTTGCATTAATTCAGCATTATTGTTCGGTTGAATAATTGCCTGAAATATATTGTAGCTCACCTACACGGAACGAACAATTTTGCTGAATCCAGATCTGAAAATAATTTTTGTTTAATAATCAAAATAATTTTGTGCGAAAGTTGAAGCGATTGCTGAAATATCAAAACGTTTTATTAGCAATGCTTATCAGTTTCAACATTCCAACAAATTATTTTAATGATTCGACAAAAAATTATTTTCAGATCTGTTTTTAGCAAAATTTTTAGACCATTCAACAAAATCATTCTTTCTGTGTACTTCCTACAAATCGAATACCATGAAATAGATCAGATTTTTACATGCGCGCGTCACACTGGCTTTTTCCGCTCGAAAGGAGTCGTCAGAGTTTATATATGAAACGCGGTGCGCTTTTTCCTCGTAGATGGTCAAATCTTACCGACCAGCCGACGTCAGGAGGTGTCGGCGAACGGCACGCTGGTGCTGCATCGGGTCGACAGCAGCACCGACCGCGGCGCATACACGTGCACCGCGAAGAACAAGCAGGGTCGCTCCGACTCGCAGACCATTCACATAGAAGTCAAAGGTAAAGTCATCTCGCTCCCGCGCACACCGATTTTCTCACTCTTCCTCCCCCTTTCCTCCCTCGATTTGTGATTTTACTCGCGTTTGAATTGGAACAACAGTGTCTCTCCCGCGTAGGTGCATCCCAGATTTCACGCGTCGTTCGATGAAAGACGACGCGATGAATCCGCTCGCTGCATCGAGGATTCCCCGCGGCGGCCTCCACCTCGCCGCGAGAGCCGACTCGCGTCGTCGTCGCGGCGGTAATCGCGCCGAAGTGCTTTTCACGATGAAGTGCCGGGGAACGTCGAGTCGACTTATCGGAAGAAATTGCTCGTCGACGCGTCACGTCGTTCGCGGATTTGTTACGCGCCGTCGAAACGAGGCGGGACCTCTCGCGTTTCCCCCTCCTCCTCAACCCCTGCCGATCGCTCGTCGCCGTCGGTTCCGAATTTCGATCTCCGGAAAAAAATATTCAATCGCGCGCGATTCGGGGAAACGATAATGTATGCACTGCATCGTTCGGCGCGAGGAGAATACAAACGTCGCTCGGAGTGAGTTACACGCTCCGCTTTAGAATAGCAAGCGGCTAATATAAAAGAATATCATGTCGATAAAATGAAATGTGGCCGAAATGCGTACCTCCCTCTTCGCGCGCGGGGGAAGTTTTAAATTGATAGCCGTGCGCGCGCGCGGAATCGCACGGACGTTTTGCGGACTTTTATATCTCCTCGTCGTATCGAAGCGAACGACGAATTTTCTTTTCTCGATATAGGTACGCGCCGCGCCACGACTCGATAGATACCGCCCGGAGAAACGAAAATTTGTAGCACTTCACGCGTGTAATATAGTGCGTTCCCGTGGGTATAATACGGACGGAGGGGTAGATAGAAGAACTATACAAGTACATGTTTTATTTTGTGAGATCGAACGCGGGACCTCCTCCTCCCGCCTTCGCTACCGTGCATGATAGAAAGTTCGGTGAACTTTCTGTGATTTAAAAAGAAATCTCCCCCCTCCCCCATCCTCCTCCCTCCTCACCCCGTCCCCGTCACTTCATTTCTGCCACGAGAGACGCTCGATTCTACTGTAAGATTTCTCTCTCGAAGCACTGGAATATTTCGAGAGATAAATTATTTCGAGCAAAGAACTTCCACGCGTTTAGATTCTTAATGTCCGTGAAGTACAGATTTATTGCCGTCCTAATGCATTAATAATAGCTGTAAAAGTGGTTGTCGTTTGAAAATTATGATAACTCCGTAATAAATTATTCGTATAAAGTCCATAAAGCCTCGAAAGTCCATTGATTATAATTATATTTTTGATACAAACGACATCACGAACTGAATGTCCGTGGAAGTTTATTGCAAATTGAGAAGATGGAGAGTTTTTTTTTCTTCTGACACTGACTCTAGACGTTTTTTATGTTTTTTATATTGAATGTACAAATTCACCATCGCCTCAACTGATTTATAGAGACACTTCAGACACTGTTGTTCCTCCCCTAAATAGCACGACCCAATACCGAAATATTTTCTAAGAAATTTTCTAACGGCACGTAGCGTTCGAGAGAGCGGATAGCGCAATTTGATCGAAATCAATCTTAAAAGCTCTCTCTTGGATTTTGATGACCATTTCAGATGCATGACTTTTACGCTGCGATCGAAGCAGCGTCGAACGAGGCACGCAGGTAGGATATGTAAAACGTGCTCGCGACTTTTTTTCCCCCGAGAAAATTAGATCGCGCGATATCGGAAAACTCCTCATGTGCCGTCCAATTTTTTCGAGCCGAATCTTTTGAGAGTCGAGAGGATATCGAATCACGAAAATCGGATATATATGGCTACAAGTATATTGAATATTCCCGCTAACTGGTATAGCTGTAGCTATTTCGAGTAACGTGAAGCCAATGCATAAATTCTTTGCCGTTTTCCCCAATATAGAAATTATATCAGAGGCAAAATAAGCACGCGGCCTCGAAATTGGATGAAATCGATTCCACGATGAAATGCAACATTCTGCAATAACGGCAATATAGCTAGTATATATTGTCTTTTTTTCTCTCTTCCGCGAGACATCGAAGTATTGCGTGAACAATTATTGCGCGTCCTCCTGCGGGATTCCTTCTCCTCTCGACTTCCTTCCGGCGCGACGCTGCGCCGCGCCGGCGAGGACGACGACGACGACGACGACGACGACGACGACTGTACGGCGACGACGATCGCACGTGTCGTCGCAATGTGAAATAAACTCTCGTGCTTCCTCTGTAATTTGCAGTACCGCCTAAAATCGATCCGTTTAGCTTTCCCGACAATATCCAGGCAGGCGCGCGGGTGCATGTGACCTGCGCGGTCAGCGAGGGCGATTCACCCCTGAAGATCACCTGGCTGAAGGACGGCAGGCCGTTGAAGCCGCGGGAGGCCACCACGCACCAGATCGGCGAGTTCGATCTCGCGTTGAGGATACAGAGCGCGTCGACCGCGCATAACGGCAACTATACTTGCGTGGCGAGCAACGATGCCGCCAAGACGTCCCGCACGGCGTCCCTCCTGGTCCATGGTACGCAGCAACTGGCCAAGCCGACCGGATGCCATGCCCGGAGAAACTCACCCTCTGTGTCCCTCTCGCAACTTCCATCCTTTCCCCGAAACTTCAAAGAGAAAAAAAGAAATTCGAAAACTCGATCCTGCACACACGGTTGCCATCTCCCCGGTTTTCGGAGACTCCGGCTTTTCCGACGAATCTCCGGCTCTTCGGCACACGAAAATAATTTCCGGGCGAGCGCTTTAAATTTTGACAACCTTTTTTTTTTTGAAAAAAAAAACGATTTTTCTGTGGCTCAATAGAAAAATTTTTGGCAGAAGAAGTCGAGTTCGATGACCCTTTTCCTAGAGAACGTTTCTTTTGGCTTAAAAAAGGTTTTTTAATAGCGTGATCAAAATTGATGATCTTCCGCACTGTTAAACCTATAGTGTCAAATTTAACCTTACTTAAATCGCCACTGCTCCTACTTAATATATACACTCAAGGAAATATTTCGCTGTTCCAACTAGAATTCTAAATATTACACTTAAATTATATCGCTGTTTTTTGTATCTGTTAAAAAATTGTTTGTCATACGTAGAATTTATAACAGCAATATTCTAAGAATATATGCAAGAAAATATAGGTCTCATAATCAAATATGATTGGAATCTGGACTAATTAAACGTCATAGAGAAATTTTCTTGCTAAATTTGACAAATAGTTCAGATATAATTTCTGTCTCTGTTATCTATATTAATTAAATACAAAATATATGTGGCATATGGCAATGCTTACTAATCACTTATCCGTTTTAGCTAATTTTTCGTATCTAAATAATTCTCGCTATAATTGCAAGATTACTTTTTTCATTGCAGTTATTTTTAAATAAAACAATTTTTATTTATTTAACCTAAATTTGGGTTAAATTTGACCTATTTTAAATTATTTAACTCCATTATTTTAATTAATAACTATTTAAATATAGAAAATAACTATTTATTAAGTAGGAGCAGTGGTGACTTAAGGTTAAATTTGACACTACATACAATAGATTTAACAGTGCGGCAAAACCCGAGCTAATATATGTCCGCCACAATACCTGCTACTTAAAAGATGGCACCGTGACTCTGCATCATTTTACGAGCTGTAGACTCCTTTCATTTTTAATTTCTCTTCCTTTGAGATGTAAGAAAATCTTTTTCATTGCATCTCGATTTCGTATTTTCCTCGAATGACATTTGGATGTAAAAATTAGGACGACTGCATAAACCTTAACTTTATCATTTTACGTATGTCTATAAGAAAAGATTCTTGAAATACCTATCGAGAGATTTATCCTGATTTTTCGAACCAGTCTTCGTAGTCGCGAGCAACAGCCGCTAATTCCACTTCTTTCGTGGATGCGGCACGCTCGTTTCTTTTTCCCTCGAGTTTATTCCGCTAAAAGCTCTTTTCCCGTACTTGGCGCGGATATGCATGTTTCCCATTGGCGGCCCGCCGCGCCGTGCAGCCGGCAAGTACCGCGATCGCTTTTAATCGACGCGCGACTCCGAGCGGGACTCCACTTGACCGGGCCGGATGTCGCATATGAAGCTCGCGAAAGAGGAGAGAAATCCGAGATGGAAAAATAACCGTCACGTCTCCGACGGCAAAATGAAAAGCGGATGTTCGCCCGTAGAAACTTTTCCCGCCGAAATAATCTGACAGCTCTTTGCCGCAACGCGAAATAACTCAAACCTAAACCATATTTCGATCGAATTGATAAATTTGAAGCGAAGAAACGAGAGAGATGCCTCGCGCCGATGATTACGCGCGGCCGCGCGGATCCCTTCGCGTTTGCATCGCGTTCTACATTGCTATAGAGAAGAAGGCCGAGAACAGAGGCGAGATATTTATCACTCAAAGACCGCGCGCGCGTGTGTGTGTATACACGTCCGGTAGTTGCGTCGATGTGTGCTGTACAATCTCTCGTCAACAGACGAGACCGTCCCCCTGGCTATCTGCGCGTTTACATTTCCCTACCGAGGACGAGGTGGCGTGTGCGCATAAAAAGCGCTCCTTCTCTCGGCGAGCAAACCGCTGCGAGCGAAAACGACGATGAACGAAGCCCCCGTCGCGTCGTGCGTGTACAGGAACGAATCGCCGCGGGATGATTACCGTGCGTCTCGCGTTGACAAGCAACGACCGAGGAGCGTGGGAGGAGGACAGATCTCGCACCTCCCTTCCGTCTCCCACGTGCGCATCTTACTTTTATTCCCGCGTACGTGACGGAATAAAATTAACCCGCGCGCGCGCGGCCGCGCCGTTACAGAAAGTTATACCTTTCTTCCAGGTAATTCTATTTATATCTTCCTCCGCTCCCTCGCGAATAGCGAATACCGAGTTTTTCGAGCCTGGAGAACGCCTATCGTAAAAAAAAAGAACAAAAAAAATTGGAATTTATTTGAGTATTGGATTGCGCTTCCGAAATCTCTCTTAAACCGCTCTTAAATCCGCTCCGGAAACTTCTTTGAAGCCTCTCTTTTAAATCGCTTCCTTTACGATACGTGAGAGATTTCGATGCTCGGCACTTTAAAATCGCGAGTTGCCCCGTCGCGCACTCGTTACCTCAACTCCAAAGGGATCCGGCGGTGGCGCGTAAGTTAGGCAGAGGTGTGCGAAGAAGTTCGAACTCGAATTGAATCGAATCGAATCGCAATGGATTTGTTTTCGAATCGAAAAAATTCGAAATCGAATAGTTCAAGATTTTCAGATCAATAATAGTTCACTGTAAAATCTATAGTGCCAAATTTAACCTTAGTTAAGTCGCCACTGCTCCTACTTAATAAATAGTTATTTTTAACTAAAACACTGGAGTTAAATAATTTAAAACAGTTCAAATTTAACCCAAATTTAGGTTAAATTCCATTGTTTTATTTAAAAATAACCATATTGTTTTAGTTAAAAATAACTATTTATTATAAGTAAAAGCAGTGGCGACTTAAGTAAGGTTAAATTTTACACTATAGATTTAACAGTGCTCGATTTCGAATCGATCGCCTATTTTATTTGCTTCAATTATATCTCCCGCGTGATCAATTATTCTTTACATCTAACGAATAAGTAAGTATTTTCGATGTATGTAATACCATAATGTAGATCCATATATGTAGATTAATAAAATGTTCGAAAGCATTCTAACTATTCGTGTATACACATATTATTAATTACACATTTTCTAGTTCAAAATGTCACATATAAAATCACGATCTTTCGTGATTTTATATGTAATGAAATGTAAATCGAAAACAGATGTTCAGTTTGTTTAAATCATTGCGTAAAATAATGTAAATCATAAATTTTGATATTTACGTTTAAATTATAACATTAATATGAATCTGGGAATTTGATTCAGATTCGATTCGATTCGAAGTGAAAATTTCAGGTTATAGATTCGATTCAATTTCGAACATACGGTATCAAAAATTCGATTTGATTCGATTCGACCATGCAAATGCATGACTCGCACACCTCTAAAGTTAGATAACGCTCACGGTGCTATCGCTATCGATGTAACGTATCGGGGGCGTCCAATTAAGGGGACGGCCGACCGCCAAATTATCTTCGGCGTTTTGGGAGAGCGGAGAAACTCCCGCGAAGTGTCTCCGACTCCACTTGCCGGAACTATGCGACGAAATTTATCAACGCGGCGTCTCTTCGGTGAAGAGAAGCTTCTTTGTTACCTCGTGGCACGGAGAACCGTGCCACCCGGATTCTCCGTCCAACCCTCTCGTGTGTGTGTGTGTATGTGTATGTGGGTCCTCTCTCTCTTTCCTCTCCCTCTCGCGCACCTTTGTACGTGTATATCAGCATTTATATACGTATGTATCACCGCGTATATACGACAGACCTCTTTGGGTATTACTCACGTTACGCTGCGCTATCTGGTTCCCTCTATCTCTCCCCCCTCTTGCCCTTTCGCGCGGTTCCTCAATTATTCTCAAACAACCCGCCCGCGTTCTGTTCTAATACCCTCGGGGCTGTCGTGTATACCCCGTTCTCCGGTATGTATACCTATACACACATATACGTATCGCAACGTGCGCGGCGCGCAACGAGGCAAGTTATTATTGTCGTTCCGCGGCATTACGCTCGTCGCGACGTCACCCTATACCTACCCCTATTTCCACCTCCCTCCCGCGGCCTCTTGTCGAAAAGTCGACAACCGGGCACGAAAACGGATCCTCCCTCGCCCCTCTCTCGCGGTCCCTCTCTCTCTGCTCCGCTTGATTGTTTTCGCCGTTCGTGTATCTCGTGGAATACGCGAGCGTCGAAACACTCGAGAGAGAGAGAGAGAGAGAGAAAGAGAGACGCACGTATGCGAGATCCCGTTCCATGCAAACCTCGGAAACGCAGTTTATGTCCGCCATTACGGGTCGTAACCCTTTCGACGTCGGTGATGCGGATAGATCCTTGCAAATTGCTCTCGATTCTCGCGTGGATAACGATTAATGAAAAGAAATGCGCGAAATATACCTGTATTAAATGGAAGTAAATAACGATCTATTTGCATTGCCGAAGATACGCATTTGTGGAAAAATCAACAAATGAAGGGTGAATTTAAAACGCGCATTTTTCGCGTGAGCGAATATTATCAATTATTAACCACGCGAGTCGAGAGCCGCGCGTATATATCTCGCTATCTTGTTCGACGTTGATGGAATAATGCAATATTTCTTGCTGCGTTATTTTAATTTTCTCTCTCTTTCTCTCTTTCTCACTCTCTCTCTCTCTCTCTCTCTCTCTCTCTCTTTGCCCTTAATTCAATATTATTTTAATTCCAGTACAAATACACACTTACGCGACCACACAACAAATATGACACGGCGTATCGCCCGGGAGGATAATTAAATGTCACTCCCGAGGTCTCTGCCTAACGATCGATACCTAATCCCGTCCGTAATGACGGAGTCATGTAAGTCGAGCACCGCCAATATCGACGACTATCCTCGGCGCAATTCACCTTTCGCCCTCGTGATACAGGACATTGGGCG